TAACAAAACCTACAAGGGGTTTTCAAGACTAGTGTTTCCCACTTTACCCCAAACTGGAAACCCAAAACCATTCCCCTTTAAAAAACAGGGATAAAATTCCCGATTTAAAACCAAAAGACCACAAACCCCACTTTCCCCATAACAAAATCTTGGTAAAATACCCCAAGACACTACTAAAAGGGGCCCCCCCCCCCTTCAGACTTTACAAAAGAGGCAGCCTTAATAACTTCACAAAAGCAGTAAACCCAAAAATTTAATGGCCCCACGGGGCTAGAAATCTTACAGATATTTCGAAGTTTTAAAAAAATTTTTTAAAAAAGACCCCAAAACCTTTTTAAAAAGCACTGCCCTAAAAAAAATAAAAAAGATGACAGCTAAGGGGGATGAACAGTCCCCGGTAACACCCCGCATTCTCAAATCCCTAAAAATTTCAAAAAAACCCATATGAAAAACAGTACAGAATGGGGCCCATAACCAGAAAACAAACAAAACTTACTCGTCAATTAACCGCCTATAAGAAGGGCAAAAAAATGTATTTTGAGGGAAAAAGATTATCCAACTTTCGAGGTGATTAAAAAAAGACCTGGGAAAACCCTATCCGAAATTCTTTGGGGGAAAAAAAATATCACGAAATAGCAAATAAAATTAGCAAAAACAATGAACCCCAACCCCAACCCAAAAAAAACAGCAAACCGACTCAATGTTTTTCTCCCCTTTTAGGTCAAAAACCTTGGGCCCTTTAAAAACCCCGGGTCGATTCCCCCCCCAAATGACTACCTCACGGCAATACCCCAAAAAACTGTTCCTAGGGTCGACTAAACCCCTACGAAGTTCCCCCTTTTTATCAACGCACAAAAAAAAAAGGCCCGGGAAATTTTAAAAACCTTTTCCACCCTTTATATAAAAAAAGCGTCCAAGTCCATCAAAAATCATTGCCCAAAACCCTTTACCAAATCCATTGAATCCCACCTTCCCACGTTTTCAAAATAGCAAAAGGGGCAAAAAAGATCCCTAAAGGAGGGGACCAAAAAGAAATTGGAAAAAACTATAGGCCAAAAATCCCCAAATTTTTCACCCTCTCTCAAAAATCTTCGAAAAATTAATTCATAAACGAATTACTCCTACCTCATCTCCCAAAAAAATTTAAACCTGCCAAAATTTGGGTTTTAGGCCTAAAAAAAAATACTAATGAAAAAAATTATACACAGTAGAAAAATATATACAATGCAATAGGGGAAAAAAAAAGTCCCCCTGGGGGCTTCATTGACTTCGTAAAGCTTTTGATACGTTACCCCTGACTTTGCTCCCCTAAAATGGTTTACCCCAAAGGTATTTTGAGGGGACTCCCCCAAAATACCTCAAGTTTACCTCAGCAACAGAAGCCAATATGTGTACGCGAATGGGGCAAGTCTTCCGCACAACCAATTTTTCCGTTGGTTCCCCACAAGGGGGGTGTCCTTGGCCCCTTCTCTTTTTCCTTAATAAATACCCCACCAAAAGCTTCGCAATTACCCCCCAAAACCCCCACTTTTTGCAGATGAAAAATAAAATAAATTTTCCCCCCTAAACCCCGGGCCCAAATCACCTAGCCCCCCAAAATGTAAAAACCCAATTACAGAAGGTATCTCCCCGGAAGAGGGGCTAACAAAATTTTCACTAAACATTGAAAAAAACCACTCATTTTGTTTGGTAACGGGGCACAGAGTACCTTTAAAAAAACGATAAAAGGTTTACCTATCACAAAACTAACAAGGGAAAAATTTTTAGGAATCCACCTCGATAAAAATCAAAAATTTTATACACATGTACAAAAAAATTTCTAAAAAATTTCCAAAACTGTAGGAAAACTTCGGGATACGGTACTATTTTTCCCCAGTCAGGGCCCCCCTGGCCCTTTTTTCACTCTCTTATTTAAACCCCTTTTCCCCCTATGGAAATTTTTGCATGGGGGTCAACAACAATTTAAACCCTCTCAACCACTAATTTCCCCAAAAAAAGGGGTGCCCGTTAGAAAAAGATAACAAAATTTTACTACAGGGAACACACTCCACCCAATTTTTCAAAACACTCAAACCCACTCACCAAACAAAACATCCCTTTCTTATTATTGCACCTATTTTCATATATAGAAAAACTTTTAAATTTTGAAAAAAACCCCCCCTCAAAAATCTTTCCAACCTTCCCCCAGAACAAAAACCATAACACAAGGCCAGATCACTCTTTGATGTTCCCGTGTCCCCCCTCACGCTATTTCAAAAAAATCAATGTACATAAAAGGCCCCAAAACGGAAAATTTATTACCTGTAAATTTAAAAGAAAAACTACCTGGGGGCAAATTCCAAATCTTTCCAAAGTTCACTTTCCACCCAAAAAAAAAATAAATACTGAATAACTTTAACCTTAAAATTTTATATCCCAAAAAGTTACTCCAATTATACGCAAAATGTTTAAAACCCAGGACCCCAAACTAAATTTTTTTTTTTTTTAAATACACAACCTAACAGAATACTCCATTCTACTGAATGAACAGCAATGCATGCAACCATATGAGCTGTCTTTGTAATACTCATTTGTGCTTTATAGTTATCTGTTTACAATAATGTCTTATCACTGATTTCATCATTGCTTAGTTAATCTTAAGTTAATTTTAAGCCAGCCCGTAATGCTATGCATATAAGTGGCTTTGGCATGCTGCTCTTACCTTTTATTTTTTTTTTTTGTACCTCTGTATGTATGCTTAAATTTCTAAATAAATAAATTTCTAAATACATAGTGTAAATTACCTAGGATAACCCAAAAAATCCAGATGAAGTGCTGTACTCTGCTTGAAGATGTGAGTAAAGGTGATGACTACGCAGTCTTGTGACTCTCTCTGAGACAGGGAGCTTGACAGACAGACAAATAGACAGACATGTTTGTGTACTAGCAAAAACAAAGCAGGCCCTAATCTTTTCTATCAAGTTTTATCACTGCACCCTCGCGAATGCTCATCAAACTGTCAGCTCTTATCAAATGTTATCTCATCTTATCACGTCACTGTCAGGGGTGCACTTTGTTTTTCATGCTTCAGGGGAACATATTTTATTAGTAGTAGAATAATATACTACTACTACTACTACACACAACTACTACTCTACCACCCACCACCTCCACCTCCACCTTCCACCACCACCTCCACCTCCCACCACCCCAAACCCTCCCCACCTACCCCTCCCACTCCTCCACCCCTCCACACCACTCCACCTCCCCACCACCTCCCACCTCCTCACCCCACCACTCTCCACCACCCCCACCTCCTCCACCACCTCCACCTCCTCCACCACCTCACCCCCTCCCCTCCTCCACCTCCTCCTCCACCCCCCCCTCTTTCTCCTTACCCTCCTCCCACTCCTCCTCCTACTCTCCTCCTCTTTCCTTCCCACTCCTTCCTCCTCCTACTTTCCTCCTCTCCTCTACTCCCCTCCTCCCACCTCCTACTCCTCCTCCTACCTCCTCCTCCTTCCTCCTCCCCCCCTACTCCTCCTCCTCCTCCTACTCTCCTCCTCCCTCCTACTCCTTTCCCCCTCTCCTCTCCCTCCTCCTCCTCCTCTCCTCCTCCTCCTCCTCCTCCTACTTTCCTTTCCCCTCCCCCTTCCCCCTCCTCCTCCTCCTCCTACTCCTCCCCCCTCCTACTCCTCCTCCTCCTCCTCCTCCTCTCTCCTCCTCTCCTCCTACTCCTCCTCCTCCTTTCCCCCTCCTACTCCTCCCCCTCCCCCCCTCCTACTTCCTCCTCACTCCTACCTCCTCCTCCTCCCTCCTACCCCCTCCCTCCTACTACTCCTCCCCTCTCCTCCCCCCTCCTCCTCCTCCTCCTACCCTCCTCCTCCTACTCCTCCTCCTCCTCCTCCTCCTACTCCTCCTCCTCCTCCTCCTCCTCCTACTCCTCCTCCTCCTACTCCTCCTCCTCCTACTCCTCCTCCTACTCCTTATATACTTCCACATATCCAAAACATTGCTGGGACCTATAAATAATAGATAATAGTAAATGACCAAGGCAGGTGTAAATGTCCACCTGTCAGTGTGTTTTGTGATAATGTGAGTACAATTTCAGTACCTAATACTAGTGCCAGAACAAAGATTGGTTATAAAATGACAAGAACTACTATAAAATGTAATTATCAGAACATAAAAATGATATAAAATAATATGAAAAATAGAAAAAAAGGTATATTGGCAACACTTCTGCAAGCAGCAGGACTCGATGTTGCTGTCATGTGAGCATCCAGAGCCAACTTCTTGACCTCATATCTGGGTAAGTACTGACCCTAATTTTTTTTTTTATCCTATAACACTTAGAAAAATGTGCTCTTTTTTTCAGTAAATAAAACCGATTTTTTTATTTTTTAAAATATTCGGGGCACTGGGGTAGTGAACGAATATACATGTATACGTCTGGACCGTTTACGGGTTAAAATCTTAAGCTTTTATCAGATTCCACTCATTTTAGTCTTATTTGATTCATAAAAATGCACTCTCATTCTATAAGATTTTCCCCCAAAACTCTTCCCACACACACGGAAATTTTTTTTCCTAAGTATGCCACAGTTTAGGTGTTAAAGCCACAATGCCCTTAACAGGAAAAAGTTTAGTATTATCTTATGTCCAAGTATGACCTAATGCAACCAAGAGTTCATTTTCTACCCATACAGATAATATTTCCTAAGAAATACCTAGTTACAATCCTCCCTGCATAAATTCTGGGGTGTCACAGAAGGTAACCAAATAGTTTTGGGCAATGTGTGGTTATCCATGTCAATGTAGTCAATAACTAAACAGATAAAAGAAGAGGAAATTAATGTTTCTTCTTGTTTAGGCTATCCTGCCTTGATAAGAACTGATTAACAGGACAATACAGTAAAGTAGTCCTCCCTGTATCTGTGGGGGATACATTCCATGACCTTCAGTGGATACAAGAAACTGTGAATAGTAGCAAAGCCTATTATGAGTCATTTTTCATTTACATACATACCTATGATAAAGTTTAATTAATAAATTACACACAATAAGTGGAGAATTAGCACTTTTGTACTGATGGGAAGCACTTCATAGCTTCTCTTGGGTTTTGAAGAACAGCCATCACTACTTTTGTGTTTGTGGTCATTATTAAGCCAAAATTAAGGCAAATTTTCAGGCCATGGTAAACCGTGGATAACTGAAACCGCAGAAATCAAATCCATGGATATGGGGGTTCTACTGTATAGTACTGTATGTTACTTCATTCACAGCCTCACTCTACCTAAATTAAATTTCCTCTGTTTAAAGTATTAGCCACTGTACTTGAATTGGAGGTCATTATGTTAATAGAAAAAACAAATTATATATACAATACTCACACAGCTGGTAAAGAAGAACATGCCACGGTGAGTTTCCTGGCATAGACCATGGCTGCCACAGGGGTTTTCTCCTGTGAAGACACATGGCTGGGTACGGATGTCAATACTAACCATCACTTGGTCTACAATACACGGAGTCTTCTGCCTTTAATGGAGTAATGATGCATGACATAGTAATGGGGTTGATATATAATATATACTTGTACATACTATGCTGTAATACTAATTGAGATTAAGGTATATTCAGAAGGCATTCCTTTATATACATACTGAATATAGTAATCATAATTTTAAAAATAAAATATAGTACATCAACAACCCTGCCATTACCTATAATGAAGAGTTTGGAAGACGACATATTGACCACTTTGTTATGTACACTAGCTGACTTGTAAAAGTTTTATACATGAATTTACAGTATTACAGCAAGGCTAATTATTAATGGAACAGCAACAAGGGATAGCTCCTGATCCTGCCAACTCAAGAGTTATGGTGTTTAACCATACAACACAACAATAAACATTTACCCATTGTAGTAGCAAATACTCTGAAGAGCCAAGAACCATATATCGGGTTCTGGAAATGGTATAAGTATAAAGTCTTCCACAGTAGCTCTAGAGGAAGAGGTAATATTGAGGGTAAGCTGCTGCTCCTCACAAATAAGACTGCCATTTCTAACCTCTGGAGGGCGGCCTTTACTCACACAACCCACAATTGTTATCAGCTGACGGGTTGCATTCTGAAAAAGCAAATTTTATGCAATGTGTTGCAATGTATGCATCCTGATGCCTGAAAATTTAATAAATGACAATCACTATACTCAGGGGTTCATTATGCTATGCCAGATTTCTGGAATAGAACCTTCTACATACAGCAAACTGGTAAGCATTCTATGTATACATGTACCTATGTGTGTGTATGAGTGTGTGCAGATATATGTATATGCATGTTTAAGTAAATAAACAAATAAATACATATTTGAGTGATTGGTGGAAGGTATAACATCTTTCAGGAGTGATGAGGAGCTGGATGTGAGTGTGGGGGGAGGTAAATGAGGCATTGGGTAGAATGAAAGGGACTAAAGCAGCTAGAACTGATGGGATCATGGAAAAGGAGTTACTAGCCCATTGTTTCCAGCATTTTAGTTGACTTTTACAACATGCATGGCTTATGGAGGAAAGATTCTTGTTCCACTTCCCCATGGATATGAAGGAAAAGCAATAAGAACAAAGAACTATTAAGATAAACATCAAAGAAAACTCAGGTGAGTGTACACGTGTACATGTATGTGTAGTGTGACCTAAGTGTAAGTAGAAGTAGCAAGACGTACCTGAAATCTTGCATGTTTATGAGACAGAAAAAAGACACCAGGAATCCTACCATCATGTAAAACAGGGCATTATGCTTTGTTTTCATCAGACTTCATCCAGAGGACCATTTTGTTTAGGTTGAATATCAGGGCAATGTCAAAATACTGAGTAAAATTTTGTTTGAAAAAGTTGGGGAATATCAAGTTGAACGAATAGGAATATACGAATGTTGAGGTTCCACTCCAGTGCTGTTTGAGGTATATAGTAACGTATCTTGGAGAGGATGCCTACTGTTTTGAAGACCTTGGTTATGTGCTGGAGTGGGCATTGAGTTTCAAGTTGTAGTCAAGCTGCAGTCCTAAGAATTTACCCTTGGTGTGTCTTACAATGGGAGAACCATTACTTGTTAAGTTGGCATTTTTCCCCATGCAGGTATTTTTTGGGAGCTCATCAAAAAACGGTGTCACTGAGTGAAGCGGATTTGAGTGGGAGAGAAAAAATTGTCTTTGGGAAAAACGAACGGTTAAAGGAATGAGATGTGTTAGGGAACATTGATGTATATGAGGAAGAAAATGGGTCAAGAACTCTGCCCTGGGCTTTCCCTACATCAACAGGCCAAGCCGATAGGCTATCCCACGATGGAGATTTTGGTGTTCGTATTAAGACGGGATTTAGGCGCTGGTTAAAATTTCTAAACCCATAATTTTCTATTTTAAAGGTACAAATTGATCCAGCAACTAAAGTTTTCGTGGGTTCTATAAGAGGCCCAGCATTTCCCTGATTTCTCCATTATTCCTTGATAATGTGAGAAATCAAAAGCCAGGGAAATTTTCGCTGTTTTTCTTTTGGTTATTTGCATTTGTGTATCACGTGTTTACTGTAATCTTATTGCCAGAAAACTTTGTTTACTTCAAAAAATATTAATTACTGAAGATTCCCAAAAATTACAAAAACACACCAATAACACCTAGGGGTCAGTGGACTGATATCACACTTCCTTTTTTTAGTCAACAACTACAAATGAGGACGAAAGGGAAAAAAAATTACAGATATGACAATTTTTAACCCTTTATTTTTGGGGTTTTAGGAGTTAAAATTCAGGATGTTTTTAAAGAAATACTGAATTTAAGATGATAATGCGGAAAGAATGAGGGAAATTACATGGAAAATTATTTAAAAAATAATGAAAAAAAAGAAAAAAATTAAAGGGAAAGGGGGGTTAATTAACTTAAAGATTTTAGAAACCTACCCGTATTATTTCATCATACAAATTTCATAAGTTCATGCTTATAAAGCCATAGGAAAAACCCCGCTTAATTCAGTTTACAAAGTTTTAGCAACACAAATCTGCATCTGGGACTATCATAATTATAGCACTAGCGAAAATTTGGCCTAGCATGAAAAGGGGCTGTGCGTGGGCGTGTGCTAATAGAAAAAAAAAAAAACAGCCCAAGCAGTGCATGATGGGAACATAACCTTGACCCTGATTTGGGTGAAAATAGTAAATTTTTTTTTTTTTTTTTTTAGTGGTTTTCATGGTTTCATTGGCTGTTTCTTGGTTCCAATCAACAGACCAGAAGACATACTAATGAAACAGAATATGTTGTACACAGAGTCATCACTTACATACTAGTATGCAAGTGATGACTGTGTGTCCAACATGCTACTACAATTTTTTGTGCCTTCAAATTTATACCATCTGCCAAAAATGGGTCTTCCACAACCTCTTCATGCCTTGAAAAAATCTGAGACCAAATGGTTCTATGCAGTTCATCATAAATTTAAACATGTAAAGTAAAAGGACACAAGCGAAAACTAATGCAACATTTTGTTGTGGCAATGTTTTGCTCTCCAGGAGCTTTATCAAGCCGTTACAAACAATACATGGACCAGGGTTATATATAGGCTCAGAGTGAGGTGTAATACTAGTGGTAGTAGTAGTAATAACATAGGTTGTAATAGTGTAGTAAAAAAATTATGGTAAGACAATCAACTTGCATGTGAGTAAAAGGTTATAAAAGCTTAACATTTTACTTGGTAACATAAAAATAGGTTAGACAAATATTTCTGTTGGTGGTTGGATCGAGAAGGTCTGTTCCTTTCTGTTATGTTCTTGTGTAGCAGAGATGATGTGATGGCAGGGTTTACTGTTTTGAGGAAGATTTTTGCAAATACTTCAGAGATGATGAAATGCCTTTATTTTGCTTGATTGTGTTTGAAACAGTGTTAACTATGATTAAAGGCATTTACATCTGCGGAAATTTGGCTCTCTGATTACAAGTTGGGGGTCGTTGAATTTCATGAGGTAATTGGTGGAATTCCGGTGTTGTACGCAGCTGTTGTTCAAGTTATTTATTCCCACAAATGTTAATGTGTTCAATGAAGCTTGTTTCGAGATTCCTAGCTGTTTCACCTACAATACAGTAGACCGTCATTTAGCAAGAGTTTATTTGGGACGATTTGGGGATAGCTCGACTGAAGAATTGCGGCACATATTATGTAACATGTCGTAAAATTAATTTAAATACAGTTCAGTTTGTGGGAAAGAAAAAAAAATTTCCCCTTTTTCCCCAAACAGCTGCCTTGTTGTGGATCAGCCGGGGAGACCTCCCGCCATCCCCTGCCACCCCCCCCCACTACCCCACCATCCCAGCATTTGTAAAATCATGTGTGTCCAGTCCAGTCCTTCTCTGCTACAAGTGTGTGTTTGTGAATTGTGTTTTGTTTTTTAAAATTTTTACTTATCTTGTTTTCACCCAAAAGAAAATCATAAACCCCCGTGGGCATACCAGTGTTGCTGAAAGTGGGGGGGGAAAAGGGTAAAAAGCATTTAATTTTTTAGAATTAACAAAGAAACAATGATATTAGAAAGAGTAACAGTAATAAAGTTTTTATTTTTGGACAAAAAGGAAAGAGGAAAAACATGAGTTTGTGTAATGACTGATTTCTTAAAAGGGACGGGATTTGACTAAATTAAATTACAAAATGCCTTCCGAAGGGTTTGACTTGACTGAATGATTACGGGACTTGACAAAAAATTTACTGATTGATTTGACGGGAATAAACTTTTGCTTGGCTGAATGATTAAATGAGGGACTGAATAAAAAATTTTTTTACTGACTTAAATGAATGACTTATGATAAAAGACTTACTAACTTGCTGAATGACTTAAGGGGCCCTTGACTGAAAAAATTACTGATTGACTTAAATGAAGGCTTACTGCCCTAAATGAATAAGATACTGCTTGACTGAATGCCCTTTCTGACTTGACTAAAACAACTTGTGATTGATTTGAACGATTGCTGACTTAAAAATTGAACGATTTGCTGACTTGCCTGAATGACTTACTGATTAAATTGAACTGAATGTTTTACTGACTGAATAACTTACTAACTTAAAGGGAATTAATTACAAATTTGACTGAATGATTTTAATGATTTTACTGAAAAACCTTATGATTGATTGACTAAATGGCTTACTGACTTGACTGAATGATTTTATGCCTGCTGAATAAGATACTCCCTTGACTGAATGCCTGTAAAATTTGACTAAAAGGGACTTGCGACGGGACTGAAAAAATTGCTGACTTTTTTTGAACGATTTGCTGACTTAAATGTTTTGACTTGCGGGACTTGATGAATAAATTTACTGTTTGGGACTTGTAAAATTGTTTTCTGATTTGATTTGAATGACTTACTGACTAAATTTAAACTTAGCCACCCCAATAAAAAACATCGATTTCTTTTCCCAAAACCCAATATCATCTACCTAAGACCATTGGGGGCCCACAGCTTAACCTAAATCTCGTCACGTCATCCACAAAATCAGCACCCCAAATTTAAAAAGGGTAAGAAATACTTTTATTTCTGTTACATTTGAAGTCTTACAGTAAAAAAAACAAAAATACATCAAAAACCAATGAACTACAATTACTTTTTTCACTTTTTTTTAATAAAAAGATGTGGGGCCCAAAAAAAAAGTTTTTTGGGCTTTTTAGAGGTTTCCCAGGAACGTAACCCTATTTTTCCTTTAGTTCTTCATTTCATCTAACACGGTTCCCTAACTGGCATTTTCGGGAACGTAACTATGTATGTTTTAAAATTTGAGGGTCTACTGTATATCTTGTAAACCCCCCTCCAAAAGGTATAGTGAAAAACTCTGCAGGGGACTGTTCCATGGGGGTTTCGATTTATGTCCGGGTTTTGATCCCTTAGGGGAAGTGTGGATGTGAGGGCGACTCGTGTTAGTTTATGCGGTATGTAAGTAACTTTTTTGTCCGGGAAACTCGGGGACTAAAAATTGGGCCCTGCTTTGGGAAAAAAAACCCAAATTGATAATCCCTCTTTTCGTCTTATTTTATCTTGACGGGGTATAGAAGGGGGGTGAGATCATTTTTTTAAGGGTTAGATTTGTGAAAAACTTAAAAACT